TTAAAGGCCTTTAAATTTTAAAAACATAACTGCTGTGAGAAATTAAAAAACACAACCTTCAAGGGCTAAAGCAAACTGTAAAAGTTAAGGGTATTTAAGTTCCAGGAGTAAAGCGTTACGGGCAGCTTAGTCAAAACGTGGAATTAATATGTTGCATGTTGTTTTAAAAGGTTCTGCTGAAAGTTGTGGACCAGCACCGACAGAAGCAGTATGTTACTCCTCGGGTCTTGCAACAGTGCCTCAATTACTTCAACCAGGGAGTATCACACTCATTGACCTGGAAGCAGATGAAGCCACATATGCAGGTAGATTAACCGTAAGGTTGTATTTCACTTGATTACAGCTTGGTGAACGGATTCATGAGGTAGTCTTCAAAATATCACCAAATATTTGTGGGGTTTTACAATTGTCTTGTTTGATAATGTGCAGCTAATTTTCTCTCAAAGTAGCCATTGCGTCCCCAGCACTTTGTAATTTGGTTTTCATAAATTTTAGGGCTCCAGAGTTATTTTAGACACCTGCACGGGAGCTCTTTTTATGACAGTAAACATCTGAGGTTACAATGCCAAAAGTCCAAATCTGCAAACCATGCTGATGATAAAAATTACCTAAAATAACTGAATGCTAAATGAATTAATTTGTTAACGCTGAAACTAAAACCATCCAAACAATAGGTTAAATTAGCAAAAGCTTAAAGCTAAAATTTACGAAACTGTCGCTAGCAGCTGAAATTAGCAGAACATTAGCTAAAAACTTAATTTAGCGTGAAGCTGTAATTAGCAAGAGTGTAAATTAAGACTAAAGATGAAACAAGAATGTATAAGATTTCGAAGCTCATCAAGTTATTCAAAAAGTTAAGACTAAATTAGACTAATTCATAAAGGGAAAGGGATACAGGTGGGCAACAAGTAAATTCAGTTTGACCACAAATACCCCACTGAAATTATCCAACAACGCAAAACATATCTGGTTGTCAAGAAAGTACTAAAAGGAAATTGGATCTGTTTTCAGACACCATTCACAGAAATTGGGATCCACTTTAACAACGATGTTGAGTGTTATGAAATGTTGTTCGTTGTTGTTTTTATTTTTTACTATTATTACTAAACTAATGGAAAGCACTTTAAGTAGTCACTCTTGTAAAGTGCTATATAAATAAAATTTGATTGATTGAAGAGTTCCACCGGCTCCTTAATATTTGCTCATAACTTTCAAATTCAAAGCGCTCATCAAGTCCTTTGTACCTCGCAGACTATTTGCCAAGAGGTCATATTCCCTCTTATGTGCTATAAAGATGAAGATGAGAGGTTATGGCAGGAAGATCCCTACGAATACATCCGGATGAAGTTCAGTAAGTGTGTTAACATTCTAGTAAGCTCAAACATCTGTGTTAGCTGTGAAGTGGCTGAACTCTTGAGTTCTGTGGATTTTGCAATCTGCCTATTAAAGCTGTACTAATAATGACCAGTGAATTTGGGCAGTATTCTGTATGTTTTTAAAGTTGAACACTAGAACATCAATAAAACCTCACAAATATTATTTTAAACACAGCTAAAAGTTAGTCTTGCAGCAACTGTGTATGTTTATGTTGTAGACCTTTATGATGACCACACCCTCCCGGCAACTGCKGCTCAGAGCCTGCTTTGCAAAGCTGCTTGCAAGAGGAAAGAGGTCAGAAACCTTTAGTACATTTGGATCACACAGTTTAAGGGTAAGATATGGGGGCTGGGGAACAGTTTGAAGGACACTACATCGACATGCATTATTCTCTGGTTGCTCCTGCACTGCAGATGASAACTCTGAGATGACTGCTCAGCAACTTGGATGAATGATCATAAACCTCTAGATTCATCTAATCCTCTTTGTTTTGTTTAAAAATTAATTTAAGAACTTTAGATTAAATTACAATTTTTTTCCAGTGGTACAAGTATTTTTTTATAATGGCATTTTTTTGTGTTTGTATTTGGAGGTGATATACATGCTATTGTAAGACCTTGTTGCTTTCATTAGCTATAGAGTGTATTTAGAGCCGGCATCTTATAGAACTGGCARCCCTTTGGTTACAGGACAACAAGCAAGCTCTTTCCTTTTGTCAGGTTCTTCCTCAGATGATGGAGTTGTGTCACCAGACCCTGGTGGAGCCCTCTGCTGACCCTCGCAGGAAGGACGGAGCACTGCACTGCATTGGAGCTTTAGCTGATCTCCTACTAAAGGCAAGCAGGAACACAGATGGACCTCCGAGGCTGAGCTGGTTTGGGAGTGACTCTGTGAAAGCTTGAACATTGGGCCTCATGCAAGAACGTTCGTATTCTTATCCTAAATTTCTCTTACTTTTGTTCGTACGAAGGGTTTGTACGAACATGTCACGTCAGCTTCGACAAACTCTTCTATCTTCAGGAAAAGTGCGTAAATGAGCTGCGTAAATTCTACCTGTTCGTATCCAATTGCTCATGCACGTGAGAGGAGATTAGCATAATTACCACTCCAAAAACACCATATAAGGCTATGTTTCCTGCCTCAGATATCAGGAAGTGTCCATTAAAGAAAATGACAGCGAAAATTAAAAAGAAAAACTTTACGAGTTCAGAGATWGAAGTCCTGCTGTCAGAGATCCAGAAAAGAAAATCTGTCATTTTTAGCAGGTCAGCTGTGGAATAAAAAGAGCTGCCAAAAGTATAAACAACTTTGTTAAATCCTTTTCATTTCAGAAGCCACACCGTCGCGCACCGTTCTGAAATAAGCATTTTAAAATGTTTTCAAAATATGTCTGGCACTTTGGAGAAAATCCAGGACTCTCTGGAGGGATTATTCATCCCCTCTGGCCTGGGAACATCTCAGAGTCCCCCAGGACGAGCAGGAAAGTGTCGCTGGGGAGAGGGATGTCTGTCTGGGTCTCTCTGCTGCCGCCCCCGCGACCCGATCATGGATAAGCGGCAGAAAACGGATGGAGGGACAATTTATATTGTTAGTCTAAATTATTACATTTAAAATTATAACTCTAATTCAAGCAGAATAGCTTATCGTCAAGATAATCATAGAGTGTGGTTTATTTTCAACTCAAAATATCTTCAAACTAAYGAAATATAAARTTATTAGKGAAGAAAAYCCATCTGGATAACAGCAGACTGACKGCTCGTAAAATATACGACAGATCTGGACCACTCGTGAATTTTGTTCGTATCTGAAAAAAATCTTAGAATACGAAAACTTTGGTGAATGCCACAAATTCTCCTAAATCACTCGTACGCATAATTTAAGAACAAATCTGTGCGTACGAACGGTTCTTGCATGAGGCCCAATGTTCTGAAGTGTGTGATATGCCATTGGATGAGCAGACTTTCTGTAATGGAACTAATACTTTTATGTTTAAGCCAGTAATTCATGACATCCTTTAATGACCTAGGTTTTCATGACATGCTGTTCATCTGCAGATAGAATGATTAAAGTCAGAACAAGATTTGCTAACAACAGTCATTTTTAGATTTCACTTGTGTTGATCTTTGTGTTTTCCATTGACCTTGTATCAAATCTTGCCAAGATGACATAATGGCGTTTGTTAATATATGTATGAGGCCTCTCGAGTGAGTGACACAGTGGAGAGACAGACAGAGAGAGGCAGAGGCATAGAGACAGGGCAGGTTGTTCTCTGTGTTTCCTGTTATTGCAATAAAACTCAGCTGATCATCCTACGGAGTACCTTCATTCTTGGACCACGTATTTCTTTCTTTGTTAAATAAATATTGCCATAACACTTTCTTTTATACCATATCCTACAGAAACGGGTTTACAGGGAGCAGATGGAGCTGATGCTGCAGAACTATGTATTTCCATTGCTAAACTCTCCCATGAGTTATTTACGAGCCAGGGTGAGTATACATCTTGTTATTTAGCTAGTAAAAGGAAAGTTTGAATAGATGACATACTTAAAACCAAAAGTGAAAATTTATTATATTTTTGCCCGTGTCTTTGTGTGACATGATTTTGCTACCCGGTGTGGACGATTTTTCACCATTTTCCCAGTACACACATCCTGCTGCATTGTTCATTATGGGGACAACAGCCTAGGGTTAGATGTCTTGCTCAAGGACACCACAACATGTGGGCATGGCGGGGAGTCGAACCTGTGACTTTCTGGTCCCAAGTTGGCTGCTCTACCACTACACCACAGCCGCACCCCAAGTTTGTGTTTGTGCTTGTGTTTGTGTTTGTTTATATAAGGGATGCAAACAATTAATTGACGTTTGATTAATTGTCGAAAAATGGTTTATTAGATTAAAATCCATTTGATTAACTGAAAGCGTCCGCTTAGACCAGAAAGATACACCCTGTCCGAGACTCTTTCAGTTTGAGTCAAATGTAGTCAAACTTTAAACCAGTTTTTAAATTGTATTGATAGGCCAAGTGAAACCTGAGTTATGCTAAATAATCAAAGCCACTGTTTTTTTTTTCTTAAATGACGTCCAACTTGAGACAGAGGCCAATTTCATGGGGTTTAGAAACAGACATGGTGTGAAGTCAAGTTTATTTTCTATTTAAACATATGAACAACATTTTAATAACAACTGAAGGTGACATAGTTACTTTTACTATGGTATAGAATTTAAATATATGCCTGAGAAACACATAATATTGCCCCTTTAAGGAAATAATCATTAGATGGACATCTGCAACTGAAAAGCTTTTTGAGTCACCCCAGTTCAAAGCATCTTCAACATCCCATTTTTCAGAACTGATGCTAAAAAAGTGTGTGTTTTTGGGGGAGCTGTCATGCTGGACTTTTGTAAAAAAGAGACTGAGTATACTTTTTATTTTTCAGTGAAGCAACTATCCCATTTGTTTACAGGAAAGAGTGGGGCTTAAAAACTGAACTGCAGACAGCATAAAGTGGGTAGTTGTCCGTGGTGGCTTCACTTTCCTGCTTCTGGTCCTGTCTCTATTTATCTCGATGGTCCAGGGTTGATGTTGTGGGTTCTGTAGACCTACAAACCTGTTCTTGTCTGCTTTGTTCCTGCAGTCATGCTGGGTGCTACATTGCTTCAGCCCGCTGCATTTCCACAATGAGCTGGTGCTGAGGAATGCTGTGGAGTTGGTCCGACAGAATCTGCTAGATGACAAAGAGATGCCCGTTAAGATGGAGGCTGCTATCGCTTTGCAGACACTGGTCAGCAACCAGGAGCAAGGTGTGTGGACAAACACTGATTAGTCATGGTTGAAAAGTAAGACCAGCAATGTTCTTTTCCAATCATCTGATAGCAGTCAAAGCCTAGGGGTAGGTTTTCCACTGTTAGCTTGTTTCATTAGACCTGAACACCAAAGGCGATGAGAGGGAATTGCATTTTTTAGGACTTGAACATGTACTGGAAGTTATGAAAGTTTTGCACATCAGGCTAGAGTTGACACATTTTAAAAGGCATGTAGCATCATGTTTTGGGTCTGAAAAGCCTAGAACTAGATAATAATAACATATTAATTACAAATAAACCTTTGCAATCCTTTCAGCTATATATTATATGTGTGCCCAGAGGATAAATGTCAGAGTACGTGCAGAGTACATCTTCCACACAGAAAGATAATTGTGTGAAAGACATCCTCTTGTATGATCTTATGTCTTGAGAGTAAACTTGATTACTTCAGTGCAAGTTTGCAAATATTTTACATTAAAGATAAATTAATACAGTAAAACACTGATAAAGTCATTTTAATTTCACAGGTTCCTTAAAAAATTATTAACTTTATTATACTTCATTCTGCCAGCTGTCAGAGTTAGTGCACATACAAACAGGTCTTTTTCACTTATTAACAGACACTAAAACTCAGTTTAAAAACAGATCTAAGTGGAGCAATGTCTAAACATTCTTCTTAGAACTTTTATACCCTAAAATAAAAGCAGGAGCATTTTGTGTTTAGTGCTTGTGCCCCACAGTTTGAGAACCACTGCTATAAACTTAATTTTTAACTTCACAGTACCTTTATATCTGGTGACTCAGTGACAAATTATTAAAGGCTCGAATTTTCTGCCTTGTGAGGTTAAGATGAGGAACACTTCTCTGACTGGTCTGCTCTGTTTTATGTGTGTCTGTGTGCGTGTGTTTGTGTGTGCGCGCGCGGATGTAGCCAAGCTGTACATCCGTCCCTACATTCGTCAGGTGATGCACGAGTTTCTGCATGTGATCAAAGAGACTGAGAATGACGACCTGACCAATGTCATCCAGAAAATGATTTGCGAATACAACCAGGAGATGGCCACCATTGCTGTGGACATGACACAGAACCTGGTAGGTATATTTTATTTATTAATTAGTTGTAAAATAAAATCAACAGTATCATATACGGTGGTAAAGCCTTAAAACTGCATCACGTGATTCTAGAGGACTCTTACAGTGCATGTGGAAAGTATTCACAGCATGTCAGAGCACAAACCAAGCGTGAGTCGAGTCAAAGTAATTGTCTGTAGACATCTGAGACACGATTGAACTGAGCAGGGCTGTACTTTAACTTTTGTAGCTTATAGCACTGGTGCTACAGAGGTTGCTGGTTTTGTAGCACAGAAATAAAAGTTGTAGCACCAATCTTAAATGTCTGTTACAATCTCTAAAACCAAATGTACAAATTGTGGGTATTTTTATAGGACAGGGATCACCAAACCTTTTGAGACTGGGGCACAAAGTCACTTGAATATCTACTTGTTTGATACAAACATAAATTTGCATGACTCACCTTCAATTAAAATAGTAATACATTTACATATATGTGAATAGTTGACTGCCGTCTTAACGTCTTAATGTTAGTGATTCCCCATAATAATTAATAGTACAGCATTGTCCATAGGTGTGCCCTACAGTGTGACTCCCTTTTGTATTAGTGGACAACAGCTCTTGACCTATTATGATCTCTACGAGTGTCACAGGATCTGTGATCGTTGTAGTGGTCATAACGACTTCTTCGGTCAGGGGAGTATCTGTCCCTTTGAGTGTTGCGATCAGGTGACCATCTCTCTTCACAATGATAACGATCAGGTGACCACTTTTCCTGTCAACTGTAGTGGTCTGGTGACCATCTCTCTTGACGGGGGTCTCAGGCAGGGGACCACTTACTTTGTTGAGGTTCAGTTTTGAAATTCTTAGATCCCATTTTGGACCAGTCTGCTTTTTTGGATTGTTTTTGGTTGCCTGATTTAGGACTTTCCCTTTCTAGTTCCCCCAAACTAGATTTAGTGATTTTAATCATTGCAAGCTCTTTGTATCTCACAGATTGAGCTCTGTGGCCGCAACCATCAGTTTTGCTGTCAGAGTCATCCTCTAAGACAGTGTTTTTCAACCCTGGTCCTCAAGGCACAGTGCTCTGCATGTTTTAGCTGTGTCCCTGCTTCAACACAGCTGATTTCAATTGTCAAATGATTAACAGGCTTTTGTTGAACTGCAGTCATCTGAATCAGGTGTGTCAAACTAGGGAAACCCCTAAAACATGCAGGGCAGTGTGCCTTGAGGACTGGGGTTGAAAAACACTGCTCTAAGACTTATTATCAAGTAAGAGACTTGTGTGTCCTGTAGGGGTCATAATCATGTGAGTATTTAGAAGATTGTTTTGACTTATAGTTTTGCCTCACACGGGGCACCAGATATGTAGCAGGTTGGTTTCCTGTTTAAACACCTGCTTTGTCACGATCCGGGGTCCTTTCAAGGACAAAACCCTGATCCTAATATGGTGAAATGCCATTTTTAGACTAGTTTAATGGTTAGGTTTAGGTTAGGTTAATATGAATTGCTAAAAGAACTGAAACAAAGACAGGACTTGGTTGTGCACCTTGAGGAAAAATAAGTCACCATAAATGTGTTTGGTTCATTTTTTCTTTTCTGTAACAGTACTTTTCCCAGAATAAATTTTATACCAATTGAAAGGCTGTTTATTTCTTCTGAAACGGTTCCTTATTTGTTAGGAAAATGCAWATTTTAGGTTGTGCCAATCTTCTCTCTAAATGCAAACAGCTTATTCTGCTATTGACTGTTRTTTTAAATTTCTAATACCCCAGGGATCAATCAGGTGCCTCAGCTGTGAGCATAGAGCCTGCTACAGTGGTCAGTTGGTGTTCTCCAAGCATACCCAGAAATTCCCCTACCATTATCTAAGGAGGGCACCCAGCCACTTTAACAGAACTGCCCACTGAAGGTTGTGGCATGTAAATAACTGATAAATGTCTGTATGTCTTCACACATGACCAATTCACTGTGGCTGGGGAGATGCCAAAGTCAATACATCATCACCTTCCCCACACACTGGGCCTCAGGCCTCACCTAAATTTCTGTACCTAAAATTTTAATGTTACATGTATATTCAATGCTAATACCTCAGTGCGTCATCATTAGCTTACAGACACATCCAATTTGTGCACATGACTAGGCTCTTTTGGGAAGAGAGAGTCCTACTTCAGGAGCATTCAGCCTGTTTGGTGTTAACACTGTTTCTGCAAATCCCATTGAGTTCACAGATCTCTTTTGCAATGGTGGCCTGGGCCTGAAGGCAACCTTTTATACATGTTTTTGGGGTGTGGGGTAACCTGGTACACTGAGAAAACCCACTCAATTATGAGGAGAACATGCAAATTCCCCACAGAAAGACCTTAGGTCCAAACTGGGGATCAAACCCAGGACCTTCTTGCTGTGAGGTGTCAGTGCTAACCACTGATCTGTCGTGTTGCCAATAAAGAACACCAAGCAACAGTCAATAGCAGAATTAACTGTTTGGCATTAGCAGAGAAGACTTGGCATATTTTTGGTAAAAGCAACTTTACAACTTTCAAACTCAGCTCAGGGGTGGGGGGCTTATTCAGCTTCACAGATCTCCAGTCTTTGCCTGTTGACCGTCCCTAATGGTGTTATGGCAGTATTATAAATTGTTATTCTTAAGAGAAAGAACATATGTCTGTTTAAATTGTTATAAAAAAACTGAGACTCAACTTTTTGAGTGTTTCTGGCAGGCTGAAATCTTCACGAGGGTTCTTCAAAGTGAGGAGTATGAGGAGAATGAGGATAAGACTGTCATGGCTCTTGGCATCCTCAGCACCATAGACACCATCCTCACTGTCATGGAAGATCACAAAGAGGTGCATTACAAATACACACAAACACACACACACATACATGTTTCACTATCTTTGTGAGTATTTACACACGTGGACAAAATTGTTGGTATCTCTCATTTAATGGAAGAAAACCCACAATAGTCACAGAAATAACTAGAATCTGACAAAAGTAATAATAAATAAAAATTATATGAAAATGAACAAATGAAAGTCAGACATTGCTTTTCAACCATGCTTTAACAGAATAAATAAATAAATAAATAAAACTCGTGAAACAGGCCTGGACAGAAATTATGGTAGCCCTGAAAATAATGTGACCAAAGGGACATATTAAATTTTTTGTGTCCACTAATTAGCATCACAGGTGTCTACAATCTTGTAATCAGTCAGTGGAACTGTATATAGGGCTACTGAAACTCACTGTGCTGTTTGGTGACATGGTGTGGACCACACTCAACATGGACCAGAGGAAGCAAAGCAAAGAGTTGTCTCAGGAGATTAGATAGGAAATTATAGACAAGCATGTTAAAGGTAAAGGTTATAAGACCATCTCCAAGCAGCTTGATGTTCCTGTGACTACAGTTGCACATATTATTCATAAATTTATAATCCATGGTACTGTAGCCAACCTCCCTAGATGTGGCCGCAGGAGGAAAATTGAAGACAAATCCAAGAGATGGATAATATGAATGGTAACAAAAGAACCCAGAAAAACATCTAAAAATATTAAAGGTGAACTTCAAGCTCAAGGTACATCAGTGTCAGATCCCACCATCTGTCATCGTTTGAGCCAAAGTGGACTTAATGGGAGACGACCAAGGAGATCACCATTGTTGAAAACAAATCATAAAAAAGTCAGACTGGAATTTGCCAAACTACACGTTGACGAGCCACAAAGCTTCTGGGAGAAAATCCTATGGACAGATGAGACAAAAATGAGAAATTCGGGCAAGGCACATCAGCTCTATTTTTACAGACGAACCTGAAAAGGGGTGTATGGACTAACAAAATTGCTTAAAACTCAAAAACTATTTAACATAGGAGCTGGGCTATCCATCAAGCCCTCCAATGAGACCCTCACCCCATCCAGACCCCACCCCATCTGAAAAGGGGATGTCTGGACAAAAAAAAATTGTTATAATTCAAAAACTATTCAACATAGGAGCTTCCGATATTTTTTGTTGTTGTTTAGTTCCGATAAAGGGCTATYCGTCGCACCAATAAGCACCACAACGCCCTTTGGACCCCCACCCCAAACAATAAATCTGTGCTGGTGAGCTCTGAGTTCTGGTGCATTTTGTTTTGCGTTGGTGTGGGGGTCATATATGCTACTGCTATGAAGTATCTAGTTTATAATATCGTATTTTTGGTTCGTTACAGACCAGAGCCGGCCCATAAATGTATGTCGGCCCAAGGACACGCTTAATTTATGAAAGCTTCCCCTGTGATTTAAGTACTGATCTCTGCATCTATTTAATGGAGCTGTCAATATATTTTCTCTGCAGGACAACAGCAGCATGTCAGTCATGCATCAGACATTTTTATTTTATTTTGAAAAGCACACAACAGCCCTTGACATGCCCGCCCATAAAGGTTTTTGTCTGTTTGATCACAGTTTTGAAATGTTTTAATTGATCTCATTACTTTTCATCTCGTAGATCACTCAGCAACTGGAGGGGATCTGTTTGCAGGTGATTGGCCTGGTGTTGCAGAAACCCATCATAGGTATGGCAGGTGTGTGTTTTTTTTGGGACTTAGTCTGTTGTTTTAAAGCACACACACATCCTATTTAATTTCTTCTTGATCAAACATTGTCTTTTATTTTTTTGTCTCATGCATAATAAACCCCATTTGATTTCGTTTTTGTGGGTCTAATAAAGTTTCTCTACTGGTAGCCTCTTGCGATAAAGTGAAATTAAATACTTTGGACTTTTTTTAATTTATTGTACACCCAATATGCCACTGGATTCTGAATCTTCTGCAGGTGTTTTACTGTGCAAAGTTGGAAATCTGTGGTAAGAATTTTAAGGCACCTTATTACTGCTGTGATTTAAAGGGAAACAATATGATTATGAAACAAATATCAATGCATTCAAACAAAATCCTGAACAGTTCAGACCTTAAAGAAACAAAATATTTTGCTCTACACATTAGAAAACTATTACTTTTAATTAAAACCAAATTTTGGGAGCTAAGTAAACAAAGGAGTCAAACTGTTGAGTACAGTCATAAGATTCTGTGGCAGTGGATGCACATCTTAAAGATATTTGAACTGCGTTGTCAGTGTTTCCACCACTTTGTTTCAAATGGGGGAGATATATGTGATGATCATGTTCTATCATGGCTCCAAAAGGTAAAATACAACACACAAACTCTGGTTTTCAACCACTGATTGTGGATGCAAATCTTTCACAATAAAAGTTGCARTGGTCTTTGTTTTGTAATTCACTTTAGTCTTTCTAGGTTTTCTGTAAACATACTGTTGCCCAACTCATGTCTTGTAGGAATAGAATCGACTAAAATACATTTTTATTGTCACTACACAACTATACTTTTCAGTGCCCCAGTAGATAAAACAAACATACTGTATTTATTCATGTATAATACTAGAAATTTAACCCTAAAAATCATCCATAAAGTAAGGGGGTAGTATTATACACGGGCTATTTATGATTAGATTTGTTATGTAGTATACTCGAGATCCTCTTATACATGAATAAATACTGTAAATACAGAATCAGTAAAAACACACATGCACATGCAAAAAAAAGCACAAGTTGTACAGTGCTGTAAGATACGGAGCCCGCGAGGGGACATGGGAGATTTCTTTTCTTTTGCGTTCCCACACAATAGTATTACGTTACCTCACAATACCTTTTGCGTTTCCTCGCATAAGTCGTTTAGCACTGTTGTGCCTGCTGGTTTATTAACAAATTTACATGTTCACCATTAGTGAGTTAGCCTACTGCTTTAATTCAGCTTCAGAATGAATATATCACACAGCCAAGTATGGAAGTATGTCATCTGCCGATATTTTAACGCAGTGCAGCCACGCAACATCAATGTCAATTTCACGAATTTGTGGCGACACATCCTGTTTTGGTAACCAGATATTTCAAAATAAAAGTCAAATTTAATTCAGTTCATATATAAAACAAACTTTTGCGTGGGAACGCAAAAGAAAAAAAATCCCCCCATGTCCCCTCACGGGCTCCGTACTAAGACACCCAGCTTAAGACCCCCTCACAGAAACTAGTATTTACTATGTCAGAGCCTGTAGGGATTTTAAAAAACAGTAGCATTAAATTTCCATTTCCAACCCACCCTGCTTCTAGAAATAAGTTCTTCCATCTTCATTTCCTTCTGATATTGCTGCAGCCGACTGTCTGCACCCCACCCCATCCCTCCCCTCCACGGCTGATGGTCCACCTGCACTCTCTGTGTGTGACTGATACAGATTTATTACGAAAATTACGGATTTTTGAGGCTCATTATAAAGGTAAACGTCAGAAGGGGTTGACATGTATGTTCCTGTCTGCTACTGTGCAGTTGTTGAACCAAATGAATAAAAATACTGTCTAAGAAGCAGCAGTAGACGGACCCCAGCAGATTTTGGGCTAAATGGTTGTTCCTAAGAATCCTCAGAAAATACAGTCTTTGCTCATTGTTCTTGACAATCATTGTGTTGTTAACACATCAGGCCAGGTCAACTGTGATGTCAACAGAGCAGGATGGCCATTTATACTAGTGCTTCAGACATGCAGTCCTACCTGTAGTTCTCCTTTGTAGATGGTACTAATGAAATATGCTGACATAGCAGAAATTGCAAGACTGAGTCATGCACTACATTCTTAATACACAAACATAATTTGAACAGTTGAGTTTTGACTGGCCAAAAGGGTTTTGACTGTTGCTGAGGCAAAAGCTTGGATATAGGAGTTTGGTGAGGCCTTGAATAAAGAAGCTCAATCRGCATTGAGGAGACTCTGGTAAACTATCCAGCAGCTGAGGCAGGGAAAGTCGGAATTCACTAACACTGTGTTCAGTGAAGTTGGGGTGTTGTTGACTTCAACCAGTGATGTCATCGGGTGGTGGGAGTAATACTTCTCGAACCTTCTCAATCCCACCAGTCTTCCATGAARGAAGCTGAGTCCAAGAACTTCTGGCTTGGTCTGTATTTATTTTATTTAGTGTTATTTATCCAGGCAAGTCCCATTGAGATCTCAGATCTCTTTTTCAAGGGCAGCCTGGGCCTGAAGGCACCCTATTGTACATGTTTTGAGGGGTGCAGGAAACCAGAGTACCCGGAGAAAATCCATGCAAGCACGAGGAGAACATGCAAACTCCGCACAGAAAGACCAGGTCCGAAACTGGGATTGAACGCAGGACCTTTTTGCTGTGAGGCGTAGGTGCTAACCACTGAGCCGTTGTGCCACCAGTCTATAACTGCGGCTGAAGTTGCTAAGCTATTTAAAATAGGCCCACGGCAGCAGGGCTCCGGGGTGGGACGAGATCTGGCCCGCCAACTCCTGCACCCACTTATTTTTAATTATCGAAAAAGCTTTTATATCATACTTTAAATTTGTTTTCTAATCAGCAAAATAAACTAATTTAAAAGATGAAGGACAATAATACTTGTGCTGCCCCTGAGCTGTTGGCTTTGAATAAGAGTGTCTTCCAGAGCAAATTTGTTGAATAGTCCTATATTGATGTATTAATGTCTCGAATAAAGGTGCATAGCCAGCATCGACCATCAACTACATCTCCCATAATGTATGTTGGTTATGCCTGGGAATTCCCTGTCAAAAAGTGGGGGAGTTCAGAATTCAAGATTTATCACAACTTAACAGTGAGTAAAACTCTCTTACTTTTAATTTAAATAGTATTTCAGTATTATTTATTTCACATTAAGTCAGTTGTGACAGGGAAATCCCATGGATGGTCCTCTTGCCGTCGTCATGCCGCAATCTTCAGTTCTTACTGGTGCAGTTCACAGCTGAGTGTAAGCAACTTGTATGAGGATCAGCATCTCGAAATTTGAGTCCATGATCCTCAGTCAGAAAAGGGGGAATGATCTCTCCGGGTTGGCAGTAAGGTTCTGCCTCAAATGGAAGAGCTCAAGTATCATGGAGTTTTGTTCACTAGAGAGTAAAGAATGGAGCGTCATTCAGATTGATAGATGGATCGGTGTAGCTTCTGTACTATTGTGGACTCTGTACCGGTCTGTTGTGGTAAAGAGAGAGCTGCAGCTCTGTTTACCGATCAGTCTACGTTACTACCTTTACCGTGTCCACGAACTTTGGGTAGTGACCGGAAGAAAGATTTGTGAATACAAGCAGTTGAAATTAGTTTTCTTTTTAGGGTAGCCTGACTCTCCCTTAGAGTCTTGGCATCCCTACTCAAACAATCAGACTCTGGAGCAAGTGGTGGATAATGAATGGATGGATGGATGGAAAATTAAACAACACCACACTAGGGCTGCGCAGTATATACGATAGACAATAGAAACAATATGAAGTTGGCCTACGGTAGAAATTTACCCTCTACTGTCCTATCGTCGTTACGACATCACACCTCTGTCAACATACAGTCATATGAAAAGGTTTGGGCACCCTTGTTAATTTTCCTGATTTACCTATATAAATCATTGATTGTTTTCTTTCTCTTTAGTTTACGAAAGATTTGCAGTTATTATTTAAATACAGAAGAAATATACAAGTCCTTGCATTGTGGTTGGTAGACACGCAACAACCTCTCCAAATTAATTTGAATCTTTTGTAAATGTTTTGCAGTACTGAAGTGAGAGTCAAGCTGTGCAAAATGTTTTGTGAATTTGAGTGCAACTTGTTTTGCTGCAGAGTTCTACGAGGAGATCCTGTCTCTGGCTTTCGGCCTCACCTGTCAGACCATCTCCCCTCAGATGTGGCAGCTTCTGGGGGTCCTGTTCGAGGTCTTTCAGCACGACTGTTTTGACTACTTCACAGGTATCTGAATGTAACGTGACATCATCTTCGGGTCGTATCAGGGCAGTAGAGAGTTCACACTGGAGTCAGTTGGAAGGTGTATTTAAAATATAATGTGAACGGCAAAAAATCGGATTTTTTTAATCTAAAATGAGCATTAAGACCTGCGGTGTGAACGTAGCTAAAGGCTATCAACAAAAACACTCCCTGCTATTCTTCTGTTTGGTCTTCCATGGTGTGTTTGTTGGACTAAAACAATGTTTAACTTTTTGTGGAGTAGGGGATGTATGAAGTCTTAATAACTGATTCTGTTTGTTACAGATATGATGCCTCTATTGCACAACTATGTTACCGTAGATACAGACATGCTCCTGTCCAATCCAAAACACTTGGAGGTCATCTATAACATGTGCAAAAAGGTCAGGCTGGACTTACGTTAAGTTGGTTCTCTGTTACTTCTGAATCGTGTTGTTCAACTACTGCTTGACCCTAACCTGTTGCAGGTGCTGACTGTAGATGCAGGTGAAGATGCAAAGTGTCATGCAGCTAAACTCTTGGAAGTGATCATCCTGCAGTGTAGAGGCAGAGGTATCGACCAGGTCAGACGCAGATACATTCACTATTTTTTATCATTTTAAATTGAATATATATATATATATA